TTAAATTATTTCAGACTGGTAATGAATTAAGTAAAGGAAATACCTATAAGAGGCTCATAGGTCACATGGTCACCTGAGCATTTTATGCTCGATTTGACAAATACATGTACTGTGTAATTTATAGAATTATTTTGGCTTTTTCCTTGGTAGGCCCAATATGAAGGAGTGTGCATTTAGAGGCAAACACCTTAGTGCGGGTATTACTGTCTCACGACAGCATCTAGTTGTTTTTGTTTTTTTTTTTGTTTGTTTGTTTTTTTTTTTTTTTTTACATTTTATTTAAAGAATTTCAGATTCTTAATTATGTGTGTTGATTATTGTATATTTTTACATTTATTTTATTGTTTTTAAAAGTGCTTTAGAGTAATTTAAATTATATTAAGTACTATATAAATTTTATAATAATAATAATTTACATCATGGTAATTTTTCCTTAAAATCTTTGTGGAAATAATGTATTTATTTAAGCAAATTTAAGCACGATCATTTTTCGTACAGGTATTTTGTTTTTTGAGCTAAGGGTAGTCCTGATTTTATGCATGGCGGTATTCTTCGCAGAAAGAATTAAATTTCAACAAGCAAGAAATATTTTTGCATTATATTTAATTTTTTAAGCTAACAGCAACGTTGATTTAAAATTGCAGTATAATTTTGTTTCAACAAAGCACAAGCTATTGTAACAGTTCGAATCCATTAAATTATAACAGGCTAACTGTTTTTTAAGCCCTTATTGTTAATGTTGAAATGAATTTTCACTGCGTTTTTTTGAAACCAAAATTATTTTTTTCATTGTATTTCATTACGAAATTGCTTATTTTCTTTTTTTTTTAACCTGAGTGTCTAGCTGATTAAGTGTATACACAAACATGTGGCAATGGGATGTGTAAATTAACGTCTATAAATAACATCATTTAGACATTAATGGCGGCGTACACGGATACGATGAACATGCAACTCAAATTAATTTAACTGACTTTTCAATATAATTTAACTACAGACCCTGAAACGTGCTACTACCCCACATGCACGCTGCACGAACGGTACACGCTCGCTACACGGTTTGCACGAAATGCTGCACGGTTTACACGAAACGCTGCACGGTTTGCACGAAACGCTACACGGTTTACACGAAACGCTTTGCACGAAAGGCTGCACGTTTTACACGAAAACCTGCACGAAACGCTTTCTACACGTTTCTCACACGCTTTGTACACGATTCTCGCACGCTTTGGCCTCGATCTGGATTTTCTATTCGGAATCTCTTGGATTTATTTCAGTTATTACGGATTAATCAACGAGTAGTTAAGAATTACAATCATTCAGATTAAGTTATGATTAAAACTCGCTACACCAGAACTACATTAAAAGATAAAATACTCAATGTTCAGTTGTAATTAATTAATAGTTGTCAATGAGTATGTGACCCGCCCGATGAAATGCTCATCATCGTCAAACTTTTTTTCACTAGACTCTAAATTATGCACTGAAAAAAAAAATTATATTTGTAATTCATCATTTTTTACAGCATTTAAGGTATATCACTCGTCAGCCTTTTAGAAAATTTCAGTCAGAACCTCTTACTTAAAAACTATTGATTACAATTCAATCTTTATAACATATTTAAATTAAACAATGTAAAATGTTCAACATTCAATTAAAAAACTGCTCAAAAATTCACAAAGAAGCAAGATTTATAAGGGGCTATTTCTTGTGGCGTAAGGATATTTAGCAGAAAATTCTGCAAATCTACACATTTATTAAATTTCATATTTTGGATCCTTAGCCTCACACACTTTTACTCAGAGAATATTTTCTGTTATGATATGCCTGGAATATTAAATATAGGTCTCAATTTATATTTTTATAACAAAATTTACACCTTCGCTCAACAAACATTGCCAAGAAATGAAGATATATTAAGGAAGTCGAGATAAAATTTACACAGTTTTTTGCCAGAAAATCGCATATTTTGACCAATAATTCAAAATTTACATCACTGACCCCAACTTTTTCTTTCATTATTTTAAACTACTCGATACTTTTGACCGATCAGCACTTAAGTCGTAAAAAGTTTGATACAAGAAAATATTCTATTGCCTATTTAGATTTTTAATACCCCAAATATGAGACTTTTTTAGTGCAAAAAGGTCACACAATAATTTACGCGCATTAATTTGCATGATTTGTTCAATGATAAATATTGTTCAAATTATTTTACGTAAAATAAGATTATGCTTATTGCCATAGTTACATCTTATAAAATAAGTTAATGGTTAAAGTGATTAACAAAAGTGTTACAATTTAAGTGCAAAAAGGTCAACTTAATTGTACCGTAGCTCAGTTAAATGCACACTGACCCCCCATTTTCTCTGCAATTTTGAGTCATACTATATGAGTACTTATCCAAAATATACTTCTCAAAAAATCCTTGATATAACAAATTTCACGAGTGACATACCTTAATGTTTTTACAATTATAGTTTGACAATAAAAGGACGTTCCATTACTGACTTTATTACTGATAAATAAACTCAGTTTCACAGTTATATTTGAAAAAAAAATATTGATTAAATTGCGTATGATTTCTGTTAACGGATTGATTTTCTTTTCCTTTTTTATTATTGATTGATTTATACATATTTTTTTTATTTAGTAAAGAAAATAATTTCATTTGATTAAATTAGGCTCTGTTTAAAATTTTCAAATGTAATGTGTACACTGCTTCAAACAGGAACATTGTGCAGGAAAGGGGGGGGGGGTGGTTAGATTACCGAGATCTTACTGTTGTATCTTCAAATCTGTACATGGCTAAATATAACGGGCACTTGGTTTAGTAAGTAAACAATCGGGAAAAAAATTATTATAGAAACAAGTGCCCGTTCTAAGAAAAAAAAAGATATTCATGTCTTCAGCGGGACCCGATACATGCTATTCATTAATATGCACTTTATTCAGAATGGTAAATATATATTTTCATTACAGAGGTAAACTTTAATTTATCATTAAAATCTAATATGGTAGAGAAGCCGGGGGATATGTATTGTAATTCTTTCGTTCTCTCTTCCGGTATTGTGTTTATTAAATATCAATATACAATGTCCAACCGCCTTTTAAAATCCTTGATTTCAAACCCCGTCTAGAAAAAAAAATCAATAATTATGTACTCAATAGTCGCAGCTCTTAACAATACATTCAATATATATGTATACATGTCCTATGTCCTAGAACTGCATGACTAATAAAAACAATTGATATATAATTATATAGGATTTATTTCTTTATATTATTTTATTCACGAATTCACTGGCAAATTAATTCACTGCTTACAGACAATCGGATAAATTTAAGAAATAAAATCAACGGGTATTACCGTTTAATTAATCGATCGTTATTGTCGGGTGTCATCTTAGCTATGATTGACAAGAGATAATAGCAGAACAAGTTTTCAATCCCGGCACGTGGAGTCCGTGATCGCTGTCGTAAATGACCTTGATCGCAGTCGTAAGTAGAGTGTTGAAAGTGTAAAGAAGAATCCAATATATTTTTTTAAGGGTGAATTGGGCGCACCCCATCGAAAAAAGCAATAATTTTCTTACAAAAGAAAAATATCAATAAAACACTTGTTTACAACAAAAACTCAGTTTTTGCTTTCATTTGATCACCCCCCCCCCCCCCCTTTGAAGTATTTAACCTTGTATTTGCTGATGTATGTGAATTATAATTCATTTACAAGACTTTTATTAATCAACCGATTTTATGCATAAAAAGACAATAAATTACTCATCAATTTCAAAATTATTTGTATCACAATCTTGTAATATAAGAAAAATATGTTCGTTCATAAAGAAAATCAATTAACTGTGCTCCCCGGCCTAGAAATCTTATACTTCACATTTATAGCAACGCACTAAATTTTGCATTTTATTTTTCATGCCTGCCATACATGTATCTACATGTTTCTATTATTTTGTATGAATCACCGATATGTTCTTGTAATCTCTATATCCCATGTACAATGGTGAAGGTATTCAAATAACTGAATGAAAAGGACAAGACCGGATTCCTAATGAATTTTCTTTTAAAAAAATATATTAAGTATTGCTCCCTTTAAAAAATATTGAATCAATTACCTTTAAATTGATGTGCATATAATTAAATACTTTTAACACATTTTCTGTCCATCTTTATATAAATAAATAAAGAAAGAAAATCAAACAAATATGTAATACATTACCGAATAATTTTATTTTGTTGTTTCCGTATTTTTTTTTACTCTTAAAATACCACCGGTATGATATACCCGAATAATATTAGCTATAAACAACACAGAATGACATGTTGATCCAACAATAGTCATATTCAAAATAAGAGGACTTCCGAATGAATCCTACACGTTTCTCACACGATTCTTGCACGAAAATCGCACGTTTCTCACACGGTTCTTGCACGAAAGTCGCACGTTTCTCACACGCTTCTCGCACGCTCGCTACACGGTTTGCACGAAACGCTTTGGAGCTTACACGAAACGCTGCACGGTTTACACGAAACGCTACACGGTTTGCACGAAACGCTGCACGGTTTACACAAAACGCTACACGGTTTGCACGAAACGAAAAGCGCACGAAAGTCACACGCTTTTTTGGGGTAGTAGCACGTTTCAGGGTCTGTATCAACAGATTATAAATATAACATTTTCCACAAGTTTATGTTCCAACAATAATTTACTGAGGTTTTAAATATAGTGGTGAACAACAAGAAATATTGGCTATATCTCTAGATAATACTACGTTATGTCAGTATGATAGCCGTGCATCACCCGAAAGAAAAACCTGTCAACATCCTATTAATGCACCCCTTTCTCACAAAAATATATTCTAGGAAAAAAGTGTGTATTATATTCGGCCAAATAAGGTAACTGGAAATGGACTTGCTCTAAAAACTATTTTTTAAAGAATCTTTTTTAACTTTATTCTTGACTTAGCTAAGAAAAAAAAACATACGCCTCTAAAATTGGCTGTTGTGTTCAGGTCATCAGTAGAAACTGTGGACTTGAGTTTCTTGCTAGAACCAGTTCCTCCATTGCAGCTCGAAGAATCATCTCCATCTCCTGGAAAAGTTTTGCTACTCTGTGCAGGAGATCTACAAATACAACATCTGAATGTTTGATTGCTTAATTAGAATTAAAGGACTTGAAATTGTATTACAAATAGTCAACAAAAACAAAAAACAAAAATTAATTTTTACGACTGGCGTGGCCTACAGGTTCAAAGATTTTTTTGAAAGTGACGCTATCTACAGATCAGCTTAAATAATTAATATTGATAATAGGAATCTGATTGGTCAATTAAGTTGTTATTTTTGGAAATTTGGTATAGGACAATCCTGATTGGAGGAAAATTACGTAAATAGAGGACGCCCTCCAAATATAGAGGGCGCCCTCAATAGTCCCCTAGGGGGATCCCCATTAGGACTAGAGGGTCTTGAATAAAGCGGACAATTACTAGCTGAAATCTGATTAGTTTAAATAATAAAAACAACATGGGTAATGGCTCCCATACAAAAGGGCCATGATCATAAATTAATAACAATTAAATTACATTTTATATTACATTAATTCCACTCTCTATAGAGGTGGGTCTGACTTGCCTGTGAAGAAAACAAACAACCAGTTTGGGCAAACAACCATGATTTATTACATACATATACATAGATACGAAGGAAGTAAAACAATAAGGTAAACAAATGACATAATCAAGGTTTTCTCCAAATCCCAAACTGGTTTAGTAAGTAGGGAAAAAAAATGTTGAAATGATAAAGTAGAGACAAAAAGTGTGCCAAATTCTGCACAACTTTGTCACACAGGTAATTATATCAATAGAATGAACTAAAATACTGAAGTTCAGTCAAAAAGTGTGCCAGTGTCTGCACGACTAAGATCACATAGGCAATATCACAGTCCTCAAGTGTCACTATGGGTTGGCCAGGTAAGGGCAGGTAACCACAGTCGGCGGGAATGCCCATATAGTAAAGTTCTCAACAGAGTGCACATTAAGGAATCTGGGATACACGATAACGTCCTTAGTCCCAAACACAGGATGTGACCATGGTGGAAGCCACAGCAGCAATAAATAATAATCAAAAGAACAATCTTAATAATAAATAACAACTACATACATACATACAAACACGCTCACCAAAAAAAAAAATACAAATAATAACCAGGATGGAGACATGGCAAGAGTTAAAATGGAAATAGGCGATGAATTTCTTGACCTAATTGGTTAGCAACTTGTAGAGGGCAAGACAGAGAGGGATCTAAGTAAGAATGGTAAGCATCTGATTTCCAGTCACCTTGGGGCTGGATCAAGTCTGGGGGGAGACCACATTCCAAGGCAAAAGAGGCTCCCCACGACAAAAACTGTGTCCACAATAATTAGCCGGATCAATTCCCACTAAAGATAGGGTCTTTTTGAGCTTTAACAAAAAAACACTGTAAGTTAAGCTGTGCCATCGATTGTTTGCACAGTAGGAAAAGGCTGGGCTTAGAAGCTGAGGGGTTGGGAATAGTACAAAAATGAGCCACAAAATGCAGCTGGGACAGAAAGGAGAATTAGGGATATGTGGGATTGGAATTTGGAGGGCACGTTCAGAGAAATGAATTGTCTTGGACCATCTTACTGATAACACTGCCCCCGAATTTTGAAAGGTGACATTAGATCAGGACAAATGTTTATCAAAAAGCTGCCATGAAGGAGCTAAAAGGTTAGATTTGCGAAAAAACGAAAAGAAGGCAACCAGACAAGCTGCCCAGAATAACAAATCAAGGGGCTGCTGAAAATTGAGGGTTGTAAATATTTTGTGCAATTAGGATTGAGTTATTGGGAGTTTGGGAGAGGTTTGAGTACCTAGCAGGCGTTTGACTCCTTTCAGGGTGCTAGATAGATAAACAGATTCAAGGGGGTTAGGGTAGCCTGTCTCTACATGGAGCAATTTAACAACGGAAAGATAATTGCAGATTGATTGAAATGATAACCGAAAGGACAAGAAAGCCACAAACCTGCACAAATTGGTAGGGGATATGGGTACCAATGGTATGTTTATTTTGTTACAAAACAGAATATAAGACCGCAGATAGGAGCTGTATGCCTGCTTGGTAGAGTTTGCTAGTATTTTACTGCGCAGTGACCTGAGGAGGGCATCCAGGGATGAGATAAGGTCTGAGCCTGTTAAAAAGAAAATTAAAAGAATCCTGAGAAAGGTGACTAAATCTCCTTTGGGAGGGGCTCCCACTTTGGTAAAGGGGGGCAAACATAGATGCAAAATTGCATGGTTTTGTGCAGTCTTGATATGAGATCTGCATGAACATTGTCCTTACTGGGGACATGTTGGGCTACAAACCTAAAGTTATAAATTGCCAACAGCCAAAAAAGGCTACAAAGGCATTTCATTAGAATATTATATTCTTCGATGAACATTTGTTAATGCTAGAGTCAGTAGCTGAATTGTCTGAGAAGAATATGATTTTGTGATTGGCCCACAATGGTGCCCATCTATGAGCCGCAAGGACAACTGCTAATATTTCCTTTTCATTAATATGAAAAGCCATAGCAGAGGGAAAACCAACTTCCCAATTACAGTAGAACCAGTCAAGGTTCCACACACCCCCAGCCCCCGTCTGACACGCATCTGTGTGCAATGTTGTAATGGGGAGTGTGTCAAGAAGAAGTGATTTGCCATTAAAGATTTCAAGAAACCTGTGCCACCAAGCAATGTCTTGCTTTATGGTGTAAGATAAGCGAGTTTTATGGCTTTTACGCTTTAGCCTGCAGAAAGCGTTGATGATGCGGCGCGGGAACACTCTTCCGCCATACACCACCGACACCGCCCAGTTCAGTTTCCCAGCAAGGGACTGAAGCTGATGCTTTGAGGCATGCTGGTGCCCCAGAAATTGTGCAAGTTCAGCCCTAAGCTCTTGGAGCTTTATCCGAGGCAAAGAGAGTTACATTTTAGTGCTGTCAATCTCAATACCAAGGAAAACCAGGGTTTGAGATGGGTCTTCAACTTTTTTCAAATTTATATAATTTAACCCAAGTTTACGCAATAAAATTATCAATTGTGAGAGACCTTTGTAACAGCTTTCTTTTGAGCTCTCACAAATAAATAAATCATCCAGGTAAGCAACAATAGAGAAACCCTTCTGGGCCATGATTCGTCTTACTGCCTGGGAAAAACAATGAAAAATTCCAGGAGCCTCTTTAGATCCAAAATGTAATTTAGTACCGTATTTGGCCGAATACGCATTGGTGTAAAATACGCACCCCCCTTTTTGAGCCTGAAACTGGGGGGAAAAATGCAGTTCGGTTGTATTATACGCAGCAGAAAATTTTACCAAGCGGTGTTCTGAACTTTTGAAAATCGCGGTAATTTGCTATGAAAATCGGCGCGAAGATAAAGTGCCGAAAATTTACAGAACACGATATTTTATTCAAATGCGTTTTTACTTCTTAATCTTGACTTTCCATATCGCGGCAATCTGGAGAAATTATTTATTTTTAACAAAGCACAAGATAATGTTGCATTAAAGTATTAACAGAGTTTATTATTAATTTTTTTAGCATACGGTGATATTGAAATTATACGTCGCCGTATACTTTTCTTTGTAGAAATAATTTTATTTCAACAAAACACGAGATATTGTTGCAAGTTTAACAGTTGTCATATTTATTTTGAGTTTAAGGTAATCATGTTGAAAATTACGTAAATTTAACAGGGCAAGCAATATTGCAACATCAAAGTATTCATAGACTACGATTTTCCTCTTTTGAACTTGAAATTAATTAATTAAATAAATAGCTGATGTTATAAAAAGAAAATCAAAATTTAACAAGAGTGTAAAGTTATCAACACACCTCCAAAGCTGTGAAAAATGATGTACAAAGGTGGGATATATGTCTTCATACATCGAGGTAATCTTCGTGGATATCTTATATTTTCTACAGAGCACGGGTAAATGATAACACTTAAGTCTCAACATACTTCATATTTCCTTTTTTAACTCTCAATCATTTTAACATGAGGCCGATATAAGATAAAGTAAAACTACATTTAACAAGCGTTTAACTGTTTAATGTGTCGTAATCACATACGAAAGATCATAAACCAACCCCCGATTTTTAACAAAGAAAATAATCAAAGCCATTAATAAGGGCAGTAAATAATCAGTGCTCTAACTGTAAAAACAATGCTTTGGAGTTGGTAAACAATTTAATTGCCTGGAGGGGTGTTGAGGGGTAATTATCAAGTGACAAGCGCACGTGTTCACAGCATTGGCTTCCATTCATTGGGACGTATAGAGGGGTGATTATGTTGAAATGAATTTTCACCGAGTTATTCAAAACCTAAAATAAATTTTATTTTATTGTATTTCATTAAAAAATGACTTATTGGTGTCTGACAGATTAGGTACATGTGTACTATGATTACGGAAGCACGTGGGAAAGGAATGTGTGAACATCTATAAATAACATCGTTAATGGTGGGATACATGGCGACGATGAACATGCAGCTCAAATTAATTTTAACTTGCTTTTAAATTTAATTTAACTATCAAAAGGTTATAAATATAACATTTTTAACAAGCCTACATTCCAACAATAACTTTCCGAAGTTTTATATATGGCGATAAACAGCAAGAAATTGCATAAGTCTCTAGATAATACTGCGGTATGTGCATATGATAGCCGTGTTTCACATGAAAGAAAAACCTATCAAAATCCCATTGTGGTGTAAAATACGCACCCCTTTCTCACAGAAAATTATTTTGGGAAAAAAGTGCGTATTATATTCAGCCAAATACGGTATCAATAAAATGGAAGAAAAAAATGAGCAAGCTCACATACCCCACGCTCCCCCAAAGCTCGAGAATGCAACACGTAATGAATGGCACAGTGCATCTTAAATACACAGTATAATTCAAAAAGGGACATTACTTGCAAAATATCATCACATCAAAACTTCTTGCATATAAGGACATTCAAATCTTTGTATGTTACAAATTTAATTGGGCTGAAGTTTCTAGATAAATAATGGAATCAAAATTTCTTGGTAATATACAAATCTATGCATTATGTCTGAAATAC